GGAGGGTGGAAGTGTCCTTGTAGAAGTTGAAATAAATTTGAATGATGGTCGATTAATTAATGAATTATCTATGTATATCATGTTTGAATGTAGATCCTATTGGTAAACTTAAAAAAAAAAAATCCCTGGCCATTTTGAAAATAAAAGTAATGAAATATTGAATGACCTTTGCTGGACATGCCTGGGGGTACTGAATAATCTGAACAACCTTTCAGCTTAAATGTACATCATGCAGGCAAAGAGGCACATGTTAAAAAGTTTTTTTTTAAACTTGTATCTGTTCATTCTGACAAGAGGCCCATGGGCCACAATGTTCACCTGAGTAACTATGGCCCTCATGTTCTTCATTAGCAGATTCTTTTTCCTACATAGTCTTATGTAAAATTTTATGACCCCACCCTACCCCAGAGGGGTCTTGATTCAATGATCAATCTACACTACCTGAGGATGCTTCCATATAAATATGGCTTATCATGGATTTGCTGTTCTTGAGAAAAAAACGTTTACAGATTTTTCCTGTGTAATCCTATGTAAAACTTTGATTGCCCATTGTTTCACCACCCTGCTCCCAGGGGTCATGATTTGAAGTAATTTGAATCTACACTACCTGCAGATGGTTCCATATAAATATGACTAAACATGGCTTAGCTGTTCCTGGGAAAAAGATTTTTAAAGACTTCTTCTATATTCCAATGTTAAACTTTGATCCCCACCCTAAACCCAGGGGTCATGATTTAAACAAACTTCAATCAACACTATAGATGATTCCATATAAATACCGGTATGACTAATCATAGCTTTGCTATACTTTGATCCCCTGTTGTGTTCCCACCATATTCCAAGGGTCATGATTTGAATTAACTTGAATCTACACTACCTGAAGATGCTTCTGTCCTAATTTGACTAATAATGGATTAGTTGTTCTTAAGAAAAAATTTGAAGATTTTTCCTATACACACATGTACATTATTCCTATGTAAAACTTTGACCTCATTTTGTGGCCCCACCCTACCCCAGGGGGTCATGATATGAACAAATTTGAATCTACAGTATGTAATAAAGCCCTCAAATACATGTTTGTTTCTTCTTTTCTGGTCCAGTGCTTTTAGAGATTTTCAAAAGATGCCACCAAATTTTCATGAATTCTTTATCATCTCCCCTTGAAAGAGGGCATGGCCACTTCCTGTGAACAAACTTAAATCCCCTTTACCAAAGGATGTTTGTGCCAAGTTTGGTTGATATTGGCCCTGTGGTACTGGAGAAGAAATGGAAAATGTGAAAAATTTACAGATAACACACAACACAAAGACGGATGGACGCAGGACACTTTTTGATCAGAAAAGCTCACTTGAGCCTTCCACTCAGGTGAACTAAAAAGGGTGTAGTCCTTGAAAACGAGATGGGTATGTGAAGCACCATATGGCAGCTCATGTCAAAGGATTAAGTTTCTCAAATCAAACTCCCAAGTTCAAGGGAACCCAAAGAAAGGTCGTCACAAGGAATACACCTGTGAAACATGAAAGCCCTTGCAGCAACCATTAAAAAATTATGGTCAAGGTTAAAGTTTTTCAAAAGTAGGTGAATCCTCAAGCTCAGGGTAATGAAGTAAAAAATATATTGGTACTACCAGGAAAAAGTCCTGTTACAAGGGATACATCTATGGAATATGAAGTTCTAACACCAAGTGTTCGAAAGTTATGGCCAATGATTAAGTTTTCAAAAGTAGGTCAAACTCCAAGTTCAGGTTCATTAAATCAAATTGTTGATACCCAAAGAAAGTTTTTGTTAGAAAAAAATTGTTAAATATGAAAGCCCTAGGACCAACCATTCAAAAGTTATGGCAAAGATTAAAGGGAAGTTCCTTTTATAAGAAATACACAAGTGAAATATGAAGGCCCTAGTGCCAACCATTCTAAAGTTATGGTCAATCTTCGGTTATGGGGGCATAAAAAGAAGTTTCCTGTAATGAAGTGAAGGTTGTGAATTATAAGCACCACCCCAAAAACAAGGCAAGGTCTGAAACTCAAGGGTCCAAAGTGATAAAGTTCATTTACCATCAATGTGGGTACATGATGCTTGGTAAATTTTATGATTACATGACCAAATGTTTTAAGTGATTAATTATCTACAAGGCTCTTTGTTGCATTTGTATTTACTCCACGTAATTTTATAATATGAAATAAATTAATAATAATTAACAAAGGCACACAAAGGTTTACAGTAAATTTAATATAAAAATAAAGAATTGAGAATACATGAAATATTATATGACAAAGTCATTCAACTTTTAATCATAATCCAAAGTTTGTACATTATAATAAAGACATGGAACATGATATTTTAATTTTTGATGGAGAAGGAGTACGGAGTATCAGATCTAATCACATTCAAAATATGAAAATCAAACACTTAATATGACAAGCTGCTGACTGAGTATGAAGGCAATTTGAATTTTTGGACCTAAAGCCAAAAATGTTGCTGCCAAAATTTCAAGTCAATAACTGTTTTGTTACATCCTTTCATTGCCACTTAACCAATAATTTAATTCAGTCAAACCTTGTTATCTCGAACTTGATTGGATGAGAAAAAAACTGAGATATCTGAAGATTCAAGATATCTAGGGTAAAATACTTAAAGAATAAGTGATAGAGACTTCCAAATCACATCCACATATCCATGGTATTAGAGATATTGGTGTTCGAGATACCGAAGTTCAGCTGTATTACAATGCACAAATAACATGAACACTAATATTCTGTTAAATATTAAACAGTAATATTTTCTTATCTTAATACCTCTTCCGAAGCACTCACAAATTAAGACGTGTTGTTTAGTTGAAAAGACAATTAGTTGGCATTCATGAAGTTAATGCCAGTAACTTTGATGTGGAATTGTTAGTGGTGTCATAGCCATGCAGTCCAAAATCAAAATTATAACAGCTAGAGCTCCCCCTTTTGATGGGCTTTAGATTACCTGAAGTATTGCACACTGATATATTTATCATGATCAGGTATAACATTACTGATAGAGATGGAAAAGTCAAAATGAGTAGGATTTACTGGTGAATAAACAAGAAAACAAAAAATGTGGATGATGTTAACCTTCTTTTACACTCAATGCATAACTGATTGCAAAATGTAATATCTCTTGTCTGAAAAGGCCTACTGAAGATTCCTAAATATACACGAGGAATTATCGTGTAATTTTGCAAGAAGCACCACTCGCGACATAAATTTACTCGCTTTTAATATGGTACTGAAATCCATATAAAATTTCTTGATCCTCGATCAACTGTCCACTCATGAATAATTATTGTTCTTGCGATTTGAAGTCTAAGAGCCATTTTGCTATATTAAGTACACACGAAAAATAAGGAATCTACAGTAATGTAGTACATTATAGACTGCTACATGTGCACATCTCTTCATAAAAACAGAATTTAGAGAAAACACATATTTTTTAATCAGCTGTTAATTATACCTCAAACACAATGTGTCTTGTAAGTGTATAACAGATACTGAGTAAAGGTTTATATACAACTGATTTTTCATTTTTATCGATAGTATGCTGAGATTTAGAAAGCTCTCTGTTGGTTTCTTTCAATAAATTCAGAAGATTTAAAGGCCTCTGAGCCTCCTTAAATTTGATAGTAAGATCACTCCAAACATGGCTTCCTCTCCTTGATTCAAAACCTGCTGCATAGCCTGAAAAAATAAATACTGTATTGTTAATTGTGACAAAATGTAGCTTAATAATCTGGTAAAAAAAAACACTACAAAGACTTGAATACCTTACTTGTATGTACTGTAAGTGTACATAAATTGGCGTATTCAAAATTTAGCGCAATCAAGGGGTATGGAGTTGTTGGCGTAATCATGAATTAGCACTACATACGTCCGTGCCATATATTGTATAATTAAATGATTTCTTAGCGGTATTCATCAATTAGCGCATAGTTGTCCATGTCAAAGCTGCTAAAATATGAAGCCTGCTTTTTTAAGTACACATACAGTACAATGTATCTTGATAATGCATTTTGTATTCTGGTCCCAATGGTCAGTCTAACGCTTTGGTAGTGTATTTTTTAACCTAGCCAGTAATTTCTTGATGTTCCTATTGCCTTCATCAGTATATAAAGATGCGTAACCTAAATATCAGGGCAAGAGAAAGCCGGGCATGCTAATTTCTCCTCTCATTCCTTTATTCTGTCTGAATACATCCAGTGTATCCTTAAGTTTAATTTCAGGAATTAATTTTTTGAAATGTAAAATGAATTTTCAATATATGACTAACTTAGTCACATCCTGAGGCTGAACCATACACCAGGAAGATATGAATTTTACAATTTTGGTAAAGGGGGGGGGGGGGGGGGTAGATGTTCATTTTTATTGAGTTAACAGTTTGTCTGCTGGATGCCTATGAGAAAATACAAAAATATTAAAATTGGTCAAATGGTTCTAGAGAAGAAGTTGTACATCAATACATCTAGTAGACCTTTTATTTTTTAATACAAAACATACTCATAACCACTTACCAAATGGGGTTGAGAACACTATTACACTATCATCAATACAGGGAGGTGAGTATACAATTTTATTTTCAGGTGGTGCTGGTGGAACCGGAACAGAAATATCTGAAAGATTAGATATCAATTAGACTGGTGAAAAGAGCTAGGTTCACTAACTCCATAAAATGGCCCTGTCGATAAACCAATTAACTGACCAAATCCCAATGTCTCATTTCAAGCACCAATATAAAGAAGAGACTTCAGTTAGTACTTTCATTTCCTTTAAAAAAAAGTTTTTCTCTTGGAGTCCAGGTATTGAAAAAGTGGCTTTGTGAAATTGTAATGTTCTTGAATTTTGACGAAAATGGGTGTATTTGAGCACCTTTAGTAAAGGATTAAAATATGCGCCCAGCCTGCGATCTAAAAAATAAAACATGGATTATAATCCTCTGAAACAGTACTTTCATTATATAATTCAACATTTTAGATCAGAGGTTGGGGTCTATGCAAAATATTGAAGAACAGCTTAAATTTTTGGCCATTTTTGAAGAATTTGTCAGGATTTGGGGATAATGATGCAATTCATGACGTCATAATGCATGAACTAGTGAAAAAATTACGTCAATTTTAATAGATATGCAGTCAGCAAGGGTCCAAGTAAAATTTAATGTATTTTCATCTAAAACTGAGCATTTTTTATTTTTCAGAAATTCACAGGGCCAAAAAAGGTCTTAAGTGAACCTTGTTCTTTCACAGACATATTTAAATGAATAACTGATTCAGAATGAGAACCTAGTACAAGGATGCATACTGTAAATGTGCAAAACTTAGCACATTCTAAATTTAGATCATATATATTAGCATTGTACTTGAATTAGCAGACAAGAAGCAGTGCAAAAGGTCCTAAACTATGATTATTGCTAAAATAAGTATATTTACAATATTTTGGATGCATTAAGTATTTGTTAAGTTGCAAATCTGTCACTTTTGAACTACTATTGAAAAGATTATTTTTAAGATCAACACTGCCTGTTTAGCTATTTTTTGCATGATGTAAAGCCCATAGGAAACAATTTCAGTTTTGGAGGCAAAACCGAAGTTTCTTGAGAGACAAAAAGATCATCAAACATTTATTGAGGAATAAGAGCATAATGAAAACCGACAGTCTCTGGTGAGAATGTAGCTCTACCTGTTCGTACTTTCTAAGGTGGGACAGAAGTTGCAAAAGGACTTGAAACACTTTCTTTCATATAAGTTTACTTGAAGAGATAATGTATTCTGACATTTTCTAAACTTGTACAAAGTTTTACTAAAATCAAGCCCAAACTGCAGGATGAGTACCAGTAGCAATTCGAAAGAATTTCACAAAAATTTCTAATTTTAGTAGCCCTGGTCACATCATTCATCAAAAGCTTCCACCAATTGACAGTCAGTTATGAGTATTGGTATAGTCTACTTGAATATCCTCTTGAAGTAAGACCAGAATTGTAGGCTTTTGAAAGAATTCAGTCTAATTAAAATTAGATCTTTGATCTGCTAGATCTATCACTTCACAAAGTGTGTAGCGATCTAGTTGGAGTGGATCAAAGATCTAATTTTAATTAGATTGGAAAGAATTTTACAAAATTTCTGTGTGTAAACATGGCAACACTGTTGCTTGAAATTAAAAAAAAAAGATTCACAGAGTTATGTATTTTGGTCTAGTTGCAGTCCTTTGATTGAAATCAGTCTATAAAGCTGAGAGAGGAGTAGGCTTTTAAAAGAATACAACAGAAATTTCTATTTTAAAAGAAAGCAACTGTTAAATAAAATAAAAAAAAAAAAAAATAAAAAAAAAAATTGATTTTAAAAAAAATACAACAGAAATTTCTATTTTAAAAGAAAGCAACTGTTTAATAAAATTAAAAAAAAAATGACATGCAGAATTAGGTATCTTGATGTCGTCTAATTGTGTACCAGGTTAAACTGAAATCAGACTAAATTTGTTGGAGAAGTAGTCCAGTTTTGAAGTTGTACTCAGTTCTGAAATAGTCTCAGTTTTGAAAAATTGTTTACAGACAGACTGACAACCCGTACCAAAACATAAGCTTTTTTAGTCTTTGACCAGGTAAACAAAAATTACGGGAAAACATGATGTAGTGAAATTAAAACTTACTTGGTCTACTTTCTTCTGCATCCTTTTCAACAAAAAGTTGTACACCTTCATCTAATCCCTGACTTCCCGTGGTGTTATGTTTTGAGTCATCTCTACATGCCTACAAAGATATTGTTGCTCTCTAATGTAAAAATTGCAAATCTTTCTGTAGTTTTAAATAAAGTAGACTCATATTTATATATTTGAAAAGTGTAAAACCCTTTCCCATGGCCTGGCCAGTAGAAAAGGCACAAGTCATTGGATGAATCATATGCAATGATAAACCATAGGAGAATATATATATATATATATATATATATATATATATATATATATATATATATATATATATATATATATGAATGTATAAAATGAGAAAATTTTGCCTTGCTTGATAAAATGTCACAGAAATCTGGTGTTCTACAGTACCTACAAGTTTAAATCTTTCAAGTGCAGCTGTACCTGAATAAAGAATATTTTTGGTATTCCTTTTAATCTAGGATCTCTGAATATTTCAACTATTTCCCGAACTGAGACCCGTTCATCTTTAAATTCTGGTGAGAATCCTGATTGGTCTGGTTCTGGATGTGTCAAGACGTAATCCTCGTATGTTTCCACATCATCTGTCTGTCCGTCTTGCCGTATGATGACTCCGTGGGAAGACACTGTCACCAAAATGCACCCACACGGTTCTTCACAGCAAAATCTTTTAACTTAAACAAACATTAAAGGATCTATATAAATTATAATCAAATCACAAAGGGGTGAACCAATTTTTAAATATAATAGAAGTGCCGTGTTTCACAAAAAAATAAACTTATAAAAAGTTATAGCTTCATGTTTATAATTTTTTTTCCCCAACATCTGTGATCAAGTTAAATAAACATCATTTAGACAAGTAATGTTAAGAATTGTTCTAATAATTAACACCAATGAAACTCTCTTATTCCCTTTACCCCCCCCCCCCCCCCCCCCCCCTTCCCCATTAAAAAAAAAATGAAACAACACTGAACAATTTTCAGTATATTGAGGCTTTATGTCTACTATACAAATGCTGGCCTTCATTTTCTTCCAGAAGTCAATACAGTTTTATTTACAACTCCTACCCCCCTCCCAATAATGGCCATAACCTAATGTTTTGATCAAACCTGAAGCAACATTACATGGGAAACTTGTGATTTCTTATGATCTGAAATGTCATCAGCTCATTAATATTGTCCAGTAACCTTACATGACATTGAGATATGACCTTAGGTCAAGATCATGATGCAGCTTTAGACTATAAGCAAAAATATTTGAAAGCATCATTCAATTTAAGGTTTAAGTTACAGAATGTGCCAGAGAATACAATTTATCTCAGTAATTATCGACCTCGACCTTTGAGATAAGAGCTTGTGTCAATATCATGAACATAAGCTTTGAGCAATGACATACTAAATATGAATTCATACTTTCCAGTCTCACATTTGATTTCCAAGTTACATGTATATACCAGAAATATTCTGTGCTAATTTTCATTGATATGGCCCAGTAAGCCTGTCAACATTACCCTGCCTGGTGACCTTGAGTTACGACCTTGACTCCAAACTCAGACATATCCTTTGATCATGGACAACATTATACTCCATTTTGATTTTGTACAACTGGCAAAGGTTCCAAAGTTCTGTCCAGGATATGGTTTTGTGACAGGTAGATTTGACTAGAACGATATGTCTCTGCTCTGATGTTGCGAGATGACATTCACAATGTATAGTGTATGGTAGATTTAAATGGATATTCTGTGGTATTCAGAGTTAAACACTTACTTACATTTATTCAGTACATCCAAAAATCTGGACTTGGATAAATTTCTTGTATCTTTGGCTTGTTCTGATGGGTAAATGTTAAACTTTAATTCTTTAAACATTTTAACAATATTTTGTCTCTCTTGTATAATTGCTATCCCCCTCTTAAGTTTATTATCACCAATTGAAAAATCCCAGTCAAAGTTAACAGCTCTCCATGGCTTTCCCTTCATCACATCATAGGTTGAGCTCATCCTTACTTGAACCTAAAATTAATTATATTAATTTACATATCATGTTGTATAGTTAAAATTAAGCTCATTTTGACATGGTTGTTTTAAAAATTTTCATCTTAATCATTTGATACAGGACTGATATCGGTATCAAGATCAGAATTAAGGATTTTTAAATTGGCAATGATAAGTACATGTGCACCCTTTTTGGTCAATTTATGTAAATAACCATAATTTATATCATAGTATTATAAACATACATGTATGTCAAAAATATATTCTTTTATTGATACTGTGGAATCATTAGATTTCATGGTGGATCAATTTTCGTGGAATTTGTGGGTACATCTTGTCCAAGAATTAACATCCTTCTCGAATTAATTACCTAGGGTAACAAAGTCATATTTCCATTTGTAGGTTTAAAAGAATACATGACATTGCGTCCACACGTATGAGGCGCCGTTTTAATATTTTTAAGGTATTTTCTGATATCAAAAAATGATTTTTTGATATCAGAAATTCGAATTTTTGATATCAAAAAATCATTTTCTGATATCAGAAAATATATTTTTTGATATCAAAAAATAAGCGAGATTTTTTGATATCAAAAATTTGAATTTCTGATATCAGAAAATCATTTTTTGATATCAAATATTCGAATTTCTGATATCAAATAATCATTTTGTGATATCAGAAATTCAACTGGATTTTTTGATATCACAAAATCAATTTTTTGATATCAGAAATTCAAAAAATATTAGTGTTTAGGCTCATACAGATAATCTATTCTCCCCAAGATTGTTTTCACAGAAGTAGGGCTCCCCTGTGTTTGGGTTTTATACTATTATCTATAGAATTAGTGGAAAGGCGAACTTGTATATGTTACAAAATGAGGGTTACAAGTTTCGGTGTTTATGATGTAAAGAGAACTTAATGAATGCATAAAGTGTTAATTACTCTATTCATTTTTACTGTCATTTCCTACGAATCTCTTGTCATTACAACTCGAGGAGGCTTCAAGACTTATTTGGAATTCGGACATTTCAAACTTATCAGCATTGTAAATGCATGTACGTATCAATTTATGTATATTCATTTATTTCCTTGCATTAATCTATACAAAAATTTTATTAAGAAAACACAAGGCTTTAGGCTAGACAATCAACTATGAATTGATAACACATATCAAAGTTAAGTAACAGAACATACAATGTTGCAGCGGGATCGGTATTCAGGATGACACTAATACGAGTAAACTAACCATTGATACGGAATAAGGGAGCATTCATTTATGTAAGTTCTATTTATTTCACTCATATTTTCTGATATCAAAAAATCGATTTTTTGATATCAAAAATTCGAAAGCATTTTTTGATATCAGAAATTTATTTTCTGATATCAAAAAGTCGATTTTCTGATATCAGAAAATGATTTTTTGATATCAAGAATTCGATTTTCTGATATCAGAAAATCTACATTAATTTCTGATATCAAAAATTTGATTTCCTGATATCAGAAAATCATTTTTTGATATCAAAAAATCGAATTTTTGATATCAGAAAATCATTTTCTGATATCAAAAATTCAAATTCTTGATATCAAGAATTATTTTTTGATATCAAGAATTATTTTTTGATATCAAGAATTCGAATTATTGATATCAAGATTTCTTTTTTTGATATCAAAAAATACCTCAAAAATATAGAAATGGCACCTCATACACACGAACCTGTAAAATTAAGGCAATCCACGAAAATTGGCCCCCACGAATTTTAATGATTCCACAGTAATACATAATATTTCTACAGTCAAATTAACCCTCTTACGGAAAAAAAAAATAACAAAAAAGATTTTAAAAAAAAACAAACAATTGAAATAAATAAATAAATAAATTTAAAAAAATTCAATTTAAAAATTTTTAAAATTCCATAAATAAATTTATGTTACTCATAGATAATGCAATAAAACTAACGACGCTGAAGTAAATTTGAGTAGCTTTTACTATTCCTTAAAGACGCTCAAAGTTGTTCTGCTCAACATTATCAGTTTTAATATTAATAATATGAGCAAATTGCCAAAACCATGGGGACTGGAAGATATTGTAATTTAGTATACATGTATATGTGAAAGTTGTTCATATAAATATTGAGTACATACTCTATATTTACATTAACTTCCTTGAGTCCCCTAGATAGAATATTCTATCGTTAACATGATAAATGTCTTATGGACTCCAACTACTAGTCCCCGTGGGCAAAACATTCTACTTTCGGTTTAACAAACCTGTTCACAAATTTTATAAAAACCAGTAAATAAACAACTATTTCTTTCTACAATTTCACATTGAGATAAACAAAATTAAAAAAAAAGATCGTATCACTTAAATGTTCAGTTTCATGAATGTTCATCAATTACCTGAATGGATGATATATTCCTTATTGAAAGCTACTTACGCACTGACGGTGTAATAATATTTCGTACCTTGAGCATTCGAGGCCGTTCTAAAGTTAGACCTCCTTGACTTACAGTGCTACTTATGCACTGACGGTGTAATAATATTTCGTACCTTGAGCATTCGAGGCCGTTCTAAAGTTAGACCCCTTCTTGACTTACAGTGCTACTTACGAGTATAGGACAAAATTTGCAGCTCTCCACCGGCAATTGGTGGCGTCTCCATGTGAGTGAAAAATTCGAGAGAGGGACGTTAAACAACATACAAACAAACAAACAAACGCACTAACGGTGTAATAATATTTCGGAGGAGACAAGCTCAGAGAGAAGCAAAATGTTATATTTTTGAAAGCAGAGGAAATGATATACACCAAAAGACTCGAATTTCAATTGAAGAGCAGTTCCGTTGAGTTTGAAGCTTGCTAATGATTAAAAAAAGATCTGGTCTGCTTAATATCGATGATGCAATTTTAACTTATTAATGAAGTATGGAGATAACGAACAGTATTCAAGCTCGAAGTCCATTAAAACAATACATATCGGGAGCAGAGCAAACACGGACCTCCAAAAACATCAGAGGTGGGATCAGGTGCCATGGAGGACCGGTCACACCCGCCGTGTGCTCCTTGTCATGATCGGGAAATAACGGAAAAAATCCGTCGACAATTCAGCGTGTAATAATGGGCCTAACAATTAGTTTGAAAAACGTCAGTCAGAATATGACTTAATGATAGATTGTATTTGCTGACAAGGTCATTGTATCGACCATAGAACTTACGAAATGATGACTTTAAACGAGACTGTTGATATTCTTGTTTCATCGACTTGTTTGTCAATAACTTACCTCGTTTTAGAAATTGTTCATACTAAAGCATGCTCTTGCGTATCGAATCAACTGAGAGATATACACCCCATATGCAGGTGATAAGGGTATATTGCTGCATAAGTAAGGGAAGCTGGCGATTGAAAAGTTAAAGTCATCATGTTTATCATAAAGTTTGGTTGTTAGATTATCATTAATGTCTTTTTCTAGTAAAATATCCAAATATGAAACAGATTTGTTACAAGACTCTGTGGTACAGTATCTTTTATTTCAAGCTCACTGGGATATATCGTGTCGACATATGAATGGAAATAACTAGTTAATTGATAATACGTCGTCGATTTATCTAAATGTCGAGTTGAAGACCACAGCAAGATATTTTTTTTACTCGTGTATAAAATTTTGAATATATATATGAATACAAAAACAGGTCTGCTAACAACGGGGCGCAATTGGTACCCATGGAAATTTTAACAGATTGTTGGAAGACCTGGTCTCCAAAAACCTCGTTGATATTGTCAATCAGAAATTCCAGCATCTTTTTAAATATCAACTTCGGAGTACTTGTGTATACAATCAGATTTTTTTTTATCAAAATAATTTTGCAAATGACCTATGACAAGGTAAGTAAATTTACGAGTTCCATTTTTATTGAAAAAGCAGCTGTCAATGATGTCAGAAAGCCTGGACTTTAATTTATCGTGGGGAATGGTTGTATACAGAGTTGAAAAGTCGTAAGTTTTTATGTTATTGATTTTGGTAATACCCCAGAATTACAAACCAAACAGCGGCGAGTGCATGAGAACATATTAGAATAGTGTTCTGTTTTACCATCATAATAACAAGAAAATATATGTACTTGTAGTTTCCTGTACTTTTAAATAATTTTTTTTTTCAATTAAAAGCAATTTGATCGAATTTCACCTTAACTGTCTCTGTAGTTTATATATATATATATATATATATATATATATATATATATATATATATATATATATATATATATATATATATATATATATATATATATATAACAAAATTACATGGCTTAGCAAATTCCAAATTATTTTCACTGAAAGATAGATTTTTTCCCGACTCATTTTTAACAGGTTTAACTTTTAAACTGAAAATAATTATCAAGACTATTTTGAAGAGAATTAAGGTCAAGAGCCATCAAATGCAAAATGTGTGCTTTAAATTTTCATTATTATTATTTTTGAAAAATTGTTGTTATCTCTTGCCATTCCCACATTAGAAGTCACTTTTCTTGGATTAAAACAAATCAATTTTATTTGTTGAAAATTGATAAACATCTTACATGTAATTGAAAATAAGTCTGTTTCATTATCCTGGTGCCTGAACTTAGCACACAAGGTGCATACTAACACAACATATATATATATTTAAAACATTACTGTGACGTCATGCCTTTGTTCTTGCAGTCTAAAAATTTACCTGTAGTCGTCCGATAATAATGATTAGCAGTCCAATAATATATTATCGGACGGCATTGATAACAAAATCGGACAGTAGTTAAAAAACAACAACAAGAGTGAAATCAAGGTTTAATTTGTCCAGAAACCAAAAAAAAGTTAGGGAGAAAAAATTCAGGGTAAGCGAACGCGAGGAAATTAAGTTAAAAATAGCAAATCCAAGAAGAAACTGGAGTCTTAAACTTCCTCAAAAGTAACACTTTTTCCATTCAGTTTTTTTTTTGCAAAGCGTTTTCGATACATCACTGGGAATAAGCCAATTTAAATCCATTTCTGATAAAGAACCAGTCTGCGAATCTCTTCATTTAACGAGGTTTGTTCTCCAATGACCATGATGACCGCACTTTTAAAACCCAAGATTTTCATTATATCATCCAATCAAAATTTAGATAAAAATCCGCATTATTACTTTAAATGCATTTCGAAGATATCATCCAACACTGTATCTGTATCAATGTCAAACGCACTTAATAATAAAAAAAAAATATTCCGAATCATAAAAAAAACCCCTCATCACCTGACCACTGTCCATAGTTCCTGCTAAGCCAAACGACTGCCATTGAATGAATGAAACAAAAGAGTTCACTCACTGATTTTACTGTCTTAAAAAAAACTTTCTCTTTTCTTTTGTCTACTTATTAGATGGTTTCAGGTAGAAAACTATTGATGTCTGAACTCCTATTGTGTAATTATCGGACTCCTCCAGGTAACTTTTGGACATTTAAATAGCAATGTTTTAAGTAAGATATATGCCTCATACAATTATATATGTAAAATTATCAGACTGTTTTCGGCCCTAACGGGCCTCAAACAGTCTGATAATTTTACATATAGAACAGTATTCGGCATATATCCATTATTTTAGGAATGACTCTAATTCTTGGCCAAATTATTCGAGTATAACCTGGTTTGGGTCAGTTTACGCTTTATAATCCGCGAAGCGGATTATAAAACAGCGTAAACTGACCCAAACCAGGTTATACTCGAATAATTTGGCCAAGAATTAGAGTCATTCCTTATAATTTAATTCTAAAATCATTAAACAACTGTGGGTGTAAAATTTCGTTGCTTTTTATTAGTTCAAATTTGCCGCTCAATAATACAACCCTAGTAACGGAAGTGATGGGAAGCAAGGGGAGGTAAAAACTGATACATAGTCCTAGCAGCCATGTTTTTTGTTTGCATGTGGTAAGATCCGAGTTATTGTTTGAAGCTAAAGGTACATTTATTAAATCTGGAATTTTCCATGAATCCCGAGGACTGGAAATGAGAGCATTGCATGGATACAGACGATTCAGCTGGTTGTCAGGGGGGTGTGTCCCCATACCAAACCAGGTTATACAGAAATAATTTGTGTTCCTTTTTGGATATTAACCAATCAGAGGCTAGAATACAAACAAAATTAAATTATATATATATATATATATATATATATATATATATATATATATATATATATATATATATATATATATATATATATATATATATATATATATATATATATATATATATATATATATATATATTGTACTATACTATTTTATTATGTATATTTTCATGTATTTTTATTTTTATTATTTTTATAACTTTATATCTTATAAGGCTATGCTCTTTTTCTTTTCTTGATATATTGTATTTAAATTTTGTGTCCAAAGTGGCATATAGACCCGATGGGGCGGATGTTTTTAAACTGACTAAAACATCTAATGTCCAAAAATGTACATGGGGTGGGGTGGGAGGATGGGTATTTGTATCATTTTGTATCTCTATAGCCTTAAATCAAATAATTATAATTGAAGCATAATTGAATAAGATAACTAATATTCCTGAAAAATTTAAGAGGACTAGAAGAAAATTTGGTATGTAAGCCGATATCTATATTGATTATCTTTTCACAAACAGAACATACATGTATACTTTTTTATTGGTTCCCCGCTTTTGCTTAAATCTAGGTCTCTATGTTCGTCTGTGTGTCTGTCACTCTGCCTGCATTTAAAGCTTTGGTTTATTGGTGATTTATCATCTTTTGTAGTGAAAATTTATAACCCCCTCTGACTCGACTTGACAAACAGATATAAGATAAATTATTGCTCGCATTCATATTTTTAAAAATATATTTGTACTAAGAATCATAAGCGCTAACCATGTGATTTCATAGAAATCTATCCTCAAATGTTTTGCCCACATACATGTAGTTTCAAAATAACATATCAGACCCCAGTAAGAACAGTGTGAAATTAAACAGACATAAAATTAACTTTTAATTGGAGACATTACAAGTGTTTGTACCATGTGGTTGTATTTATTTTTTTTTACTGAATCTCAGTTAGATACTTGTATATTATACATGCATATTAATTTTGTGCTTATTGTGATGAGAAATTGGAATAATTGCAGGGAAAATGTATGGCTAAAAATGTTACACATTAAGATGTTTAATCCCAACTTCAGAAAATTTAACTGAATAATTGAAATGATACAGAAATTTAATATTACTGACCTGATGAAAATTTGCTTATGAGTTTGAGATATTTTACGTTTTAAGTGAAATGACTGAAAAAATTAAAGAATCGTTAATGACATCATCCTACTTAAGCTTTAACCTCAAAATTTGACCTTTATTATGCATATCGTATGAACACTACTTATACATGTACATGTGTTCAAAATTCTTTAGCTATAAGAGATGCAAAAGTTTTATTTTATTATAGAGAGTTAACTCACATGAAATAAATACATTCAAGATTTAGGCTCCCAGATGTTCAATATATGGGATGGCTCCTATTTTGCAGAGTATACTAAATAAATGTCAAAGTCTATTTTATTGTTCCGAATGTTATTTGATATTAACATGTAATATTGACATTATAACAAATTTATTTATCTATTTTGTGTGTTTCAAAAGATATAAGTTAAAACTTAAAACTGATTTCAAGATTGTTGTGTGCTACTTTAAAGAAGACCTACAGATTTTGACGTCAAAGGTCAAGGCTAGAAACCCTTTTGATTTTGTGGCCAAAAGGTGAAAGGTCAACTTTAATCCTCCCTTTCCTTAATCTTCGTCTTTAGGTCTTCCACCCACTAATTATCCATTCATTAAGCAGGAGATATTAATTCTCTGAATTGTTGTTGTTGAAAAAAGAGAGACAACTTTGGAATGTAAATTAAGATTGTCTTTGCACTTTGCATATGTAGAATCGAATGCATAGAGTATCAGTCTTAACTATATCTTTGCAACTGGTTAAGGAATATAACAACACATTTATAGAAATTTTTCTGAAATATAGTGAGAAAAAATTATGTTCCTGCTTAATAATGGCCTTATATTACACAATGAAAAAATCAGTGTAAGGCATGTCATTTTCACAAAAATGAATAAAACATAATTTTGTACATAAAACATTTTTTCTTAAGGAAAATCTTGGTTTTAAATTCGCTTCTATTTCATTTTTGAAGGTAACTCTAAACTATAGCTAATAATTTAATTCCACATTTTACGAATACAAACTTTAACCAGTGTATGATTTGAAGTGTCAGAGGGCTCAAACTTACTGAGGTACCAAGTGCTGTGTGACCTTGACCTTTGAGTGCAATCTCGAGTCAAGGTCAAATCAGCGCATGAGCAACAACATAGATGATTTTAAGATTTTAAATCATTTTAATTTCATTTTAATTGAGGATTAGAGTTATGGTCCTGATAGAATGACAGGCAGTCCGACTACCATGCAAAATAAATAGATAAATGAATAAATTAAAAAAAAAATAATTAAAAAAAATTGTCTACTTACTCTCAGGAATACATACATGTAATTATAAAAATCAAAAATCGAAGGAAAAAAAACATTCCATTTTATTGATGAAGCACATAAAAAATCTAAACAAGAAAACAAAAACACTTGTGTGCTTTTTAAGTAAAATCTTTGTCAAAGTGTTTACATTTTCGAATTATTATGAATTATGCATATTCATCGAATTTCTGAAAAATCATATGGTATAGTAATTTCACCAAAATAGGAAGGCTATATTTATTGGGTACATTTTATGACTCCTGAAACCAAACAAGCAAACAAAAATATTAAGTCTCATTAGCAGCTCGATTCTGGGAGAAGTCTCTCTGTCTGACGTGTATAATTTTGGTCTTCAGAGAGAGAAATAAGATCACATGTTTTTCTCAGACCGCCTCTGTTTCTAACGACCAAATCCGAATCTAGCCAATCAGCGACCAGGATTACACAAATTCATGTCATTTTGCAAGAAACGACAAACTAATACAAAAAATCTTCTTTAAGACTGTCTGTTGATTAAAACAAATATAATAAAAGGCATTTAATGAAAATCTTACCGAAGTAAGCAACGAGCAGAAAGACGAGACGTTAAGTGTGGTAATTTTCGTATGGCAGTGCGGGCACTCGAAAAAGCATGGAAGGGTTAACAGAGTTTGTGTCAAAATCTTTTGTCAAAGACAGTTTACCAAATTTCAAAGAGTCAACCCCGTCGTATCCCTGTAAAATGGAGGCTGGTTTTGATCCCCCGTCCGAACCGACGGATCTAAGGATACGCAAGAGAAGTGAAAGTCCGGAAACCAAAACCTCCACAAATGAGGTGCAAGAGGGACCCCCTCCAACCCCTAAAGTAGAAACCATAGAGTGTTCAGATGATTCGGATAATGGTACGTAATTATATATGTCTTAGTTTAACATACTTGTACGTATTTTTAATGTTCGAGGGATTAAAAGACCATTTTAATTTCAGTGAAATCGGAACTATTATCTGTTAGTCGATGTACAGATTAAGGTATAAGACAAATTAAGTACAGGGATATCAGTGTTAAGAAAATTACTTGTAGGTCAGGAAAATTTGCGACACTTTTTCTGGAGGAAACGAGAAAAAATATATAGAGAAACAAGTGAAGAATTATATTTAGTCGTACAAACTTTGCCATAAAAAAAATTCCATTTTATTGAAGAAGCACATAAAAAGAATGTAAAGACATTATTTTTTACAAAAATAGCTCACAGCATGGTGTAATTCTTTTGTTGTTGATTTTCTTGTTTCAATAAATATTCCTGTAACAGAAATCGAAAGAAAAAATGAGAGAAAAACTAATAAAATCATAATACTTTGCACTTTGTAATTATCTTCAACATCATACCGATATCTGACAGTCTATAATGTTAATAATATTGTTATCTTGAATCTTTGCAAACTTTAACATTTTTTCCTCAGGTACCGATGATATATTCAGAAATAACCAGGCATGTTGTGTTTATGAAACAGTCATCTAATAAGTATTCTATCAACCTTGTAAAATTAATTTTTAACCCCCCCCCCCCAAATAATAACAATTTCAAGTCATAGGTACACTTGTAAATTAATCTTGGGGACAATTGCGTGTATGTTTCAATTTGTGAGTAAAATAAGAAATGATTCTGTTATTCATGTAGGATGTACTCGTGTATTATATTTTATGGAAGACCGAGAGTAAGGAGCTGTAGAGATCCTCAGACTGTTAAATTTTAAATGGGATAAAGAGAAAAAAAACTGCAAGTGTAAGTTGATTGAAATTTGATCACAAAAACTATAACACAAGTTGTGAAGGAATCTGTGGACACATGTACATGGAGGAATGATAAAACTTTTGAAAATACTTGGGATTTTGTTGATGTTTTATTGAAACAGTGCTCCGGGACAATTAGAGGAGGAAAACTTACTATAACAAAGTTGAAAATCAGTATCTGTTATATCATAATTTGAATCAATTTTTTTCAAAGAGAGAGATAACGAGCGAGAGAGAGAAAGAGATTAAAACATAAATGCATGTTCCTTAAACCAAGATTTTGTGTCAAGGGTTTTTGAACTTACATCATTTTCATACGACAGATTTTTCTAGAACAACGAAAAAATGAATTCAATATCTATATACAAGTACACGACTTGAGAAAATTGAAATTTTCAATGTGAACTTAATTTCGAGCTGAAAATGTAGCGCTATACTCATCTTACCAAAAAAAAAAGTGAGCAAACTTCCAGGTACACAGTATACTCTCGGCTTGTGTTTTTCAAAGGATCATTTAAATATTTTTATATACGAGTATGTAATACTAGCAATCACCCTATTTTTTTTTCTTATTTCTTCTTATCTCTTGAGGAAAATGATGTTAATGTATAAGTTGATAATCAGGGTAGACAGAAGGCAGATTTAAACGAAGGTAAAAAAAAATGATGAACTCAGTTGAGTAGATGACAGCCTTTGCAATATGTGTATTAATTGTCAGTTCAAACTTGGAATAACGTAATCCAAAAAGCCGATCGAATTGTTAGAATTCTGTTGGTTTTTTTTTTTTTTATATTTATTTATAGTGTGTCAGTTTGAAAATTTTCTGAGAGACGGTTTTAAAAAGTTGGTTTGTTCCCGTTTTGCACACATTTGAAAATAAGATATTGGAAAATTGTTTGCAAAGTGCGAATTTGTCCAGGTAAGATAATTACTTGATTGTTATAGTCTATTCCATAGTTGCTAAATATGGATTATTAAGAAAATAAAAGTTTAAGCCACTTTGCTCAAATGTGTGCAAAACGGGAACACACCAAAAAGGTTTATTCCAACCTTAATTACTTTGGTGCTCAAGCTTGGTCAGAACATGTTATATAGAGCACTAATAAAAATAGCTCCAACTTGCCCATCTCATTCTGCTTGGAAAAACTTATTATAATGTTATTATAATTACAAAAGACTGCATTAGATATGAGAAATCGCTTCATACATGTTGACGACAAAACTGCTTGTTCATTATGATCATCAGGTCAAATAAGAGAATAAAAGTATAGTTGTTATAAATCTCATTAATTTTAAACAAGATCAACAAGTCCCTAAAGAGAAGCTTTTAAGCTTTAAATGCTTTTTATAGTTCGCTCAGTTGGGCTGGTAGTAAATATCTATGTGGTTGTCTACTGGGTAATTATCCATACAAAATCAATGTACTCTCATAACCTACATTTAGAAAAAACCCTCCGCCCAATCAAATTAAGGATGCAAATATTTTAATTTCGTATAAAGGTATACGTGTATAATGAGTTTTGCTGTTTTATAAATGGAGGTGTTAATGATAAATGAAAATGCGTCTGCATGTAGACAGAATATTTATGTTAGTAACATCTACAAAAACTCAAATGGTCATGGCTGTGAATTATACCACTCATTTAGTCCATCGTTGACAAAGTAATTAAAAAAAATGCGTCTGCATGTAGACAGAATATTTATGTTAGTAACATCTACAAAAACTCAAATGGTCATCACGGCTGTGAATTATACCACTCATTTAGTCCATCGTTGACAAAGTAATTAAAAAAAAAAAAAAAAACATAAACAGTTTATTACCTAAAAATTGTAATTCTATTTTTTCCAGTCCACTAACATGATTTCAAAGGATGAGGAAAGGGAAAAAATAATTTCAACATGAAGATGACTGATCTAGATAAATTTATGAAAGAGATGATTTATTGCTTATAAATTAAATTTTTAAAATATTATTCATTTATAAATTTGAATTTTCGACACTATAATTTGAACATGATAGCATGTCCAATAACGAAAGAATTATATTTTATGTTTGATTTTTTTTAGATACCCGGTAATATATTTGAACAATAACCAGGGTGATCAAAACGTTTTGAGATTGTATTTACATCGTGATCAATACTCTAAGAATATGCGTCTCCAAAACTTATTTGGACATATAAAAAATAAATTATTATAATTGTTTAAAATTTGAGAAAAAGTTGTATTACAATGATTATACATGTATATTATTAGAATATTGATCAGATGGACCACATAAAGCGTGTTTTTCATATGTTAAGATACTTTCTAATTCAGATTCATAAATTGTTTTTCTTTGACTGAAAAGCACCAAAATAACGATTTACTACTTACTAAATGCATACATTTCATCATTATGTATATTTTTATTTACTTTTTTGTTTATCTCTTAACGTTGTGCCCTTTATGTTTTTTTTTTTATTCAATTTTGTGTTTATATTGGCATATAGGCCCGATGGGCCGGGTGTTGATTGATTTTTTTAGTACAGTTTGTATACAAAATAATTTATGTACACGTCACTATAAATAAATAAATTACTTACTTACTTGTAATTATTCCATGGGAGGGTTATACTTCCCTTGTAGTTATCTTGCTTTTCTTACTTTTTACTACTTGCACTTTTAACAGCATAACTAAATACAAAAAAGTGAGAATTTTGAACATCATGGAAAATTTACATTTTAAAAATACTTTATGAATTTGATATTTGCATCATATGCATCCCCCCTCCCCACCAAAAAATTAATTAATTGTCAAAATCCTGGAATTTGCCAGTGCATCTAAAGGAAAATCTACAATAGCAAAATACTATACTCAGGGGGGGGGGGGGAGATGGGGCGTCCCCTAGCCCCCGCGTTCTACGGGCCTTAGAAACACAATTGTATATACCAATTTATGCATCGATGTTTCGTTTGAAGTAAGTGTCTATAAGGACATCACAATGATTTTAAAAAATCATTCAATCATTATAGTATGTTTATTCACCAATCAAGATCCCTCAGGGGGCATTTACAATTGTATCAGTATGATCAAATTTAAGCATATTTTAAAAAATAAATCATTTCTACAAATGGAGTTATAAATAGAAGATGTACAATACGATATTTATAATATTCGTGAAAATGTAAAATATTTAACATTTCCATTATTGTCTGTAATTGGGTCAAAAAAGAAAAAAAAATTGAAGAGGTACAAAACCATATGATAATATCTTAAAAAAAAAAGGTAAATGAATAATGATAATAGCAGCATACTATCGTGTAGTGTAAAAAACAGGGTACCGAGGGACGATGTCTGTGTTCAGTCAATCTGACTGTAAACATGAACTCTTAAGTATTCAAGACACTTATTCAATAAAACATTTAAAAGTGATAGAGAAAAAAAGAAGAAAAAAATTCTTTACAAATAATTAAGTGCTTTACACAAACTAGACCTCACTGAACTGAGTTACTGATATTTCATATTCCAGTCTTCAGAATCATTTTACTGACTTAAACATTATGAGGGAGGTGTATGGAAATTGACCAAATACAGTTTAATGATAAATGTTGTAAAGTTTCAGTGATATTTTATAATTAAAGCAAATCATTTAGTGTTAAAGTAAGATTCTGTTTCCCGGAGCCGGAATATATTTACCGAGGCAAAGCCGATAGCAATAACTCTGATCTCGACCAGAATCTTGCTAATTCACGATATGATATACTTTAACTGCAAGGCCGCCCATGGTACATTGGGTGGCTATATCACCCCCTTTATTCAAAACAAAAACTCGAAAGCAAATTATTTATTTCTCTGTTTAAAGTTATGGACTAGATTTTTTTAAATATGAAAAAAGACTTCCAACTTGACCAAAACCCATCAAAATGGTACCCATTTATAAAATCTGGCTTAGGGCAGGGGACACCCCTTCCAGATTTTCCTCTGGCTACTCCCTCCAGAAACGTGATGACCCTGAACTGCGTTTTGTACTTTAGATTAAGGTTCCATCCACAACCCACTGACCAAGTCCGACTGCTGACATCCGGTGTTTGCAATTGTTGTCTGAAGGTGAAGTTAAAAAAATGCTTTC